TCCTGATCCTGGAGTTTACACACACACACACACACCATTCCAGGCACCCCAAAACAGACAAATTGCTTTCTGGGTCTCAGTCATTAAACACCAGTACCCTGCTGGCCTTAACTCTGGCCACACATAGCAAGAACGGAGCCTTCCTGAGCAGAGATGGCCTCACAATTCTCCTTGGAAGGCACTAGTACCTCATCTTTCTTTTCTCTCTCCCCGAACCTCCACTTACACAGCCTTTACACACAGATCCCTGCCCCTGGCACGTTTCCAAAGACTGAGGGTTTTGGCAAGAGTACTGTCCCCCTCAGACAGAGGAGAAAACGGAGGCCAAGGCGAGAAAGATGGAAAGGGCAGAGTTAGGACCTACAGCTGGAAGTGGCGCTGTGGCTCAAGTGGTAGAGCGCTTGCCTTGCATGTATGAAGCCCTGGGTTCGATTCCTCAGCAGTTCATCTCTTCAGTGGCACACACACATCCTCACATAGACATACTGATGTGCATACAACTGCAGGCACACGCCTGTATACAGCGGCTCCGTGCACATGGTTTCCTTTCAAGCCATACACAGAGTCAGGAAGAGACGAAATGTGCCTTACTGATCAATCCCCTAAAGCTTTGGGGAGCAGCAAGGAAGGTAAAAGAGCAACCCCTGGCTCAGCTGAGCTCCCAGCAGGCTTCAGGGTGTGTGATCCTCAGAGGGTGCTAAGAACAACCAGCCAGGTCCTAAGGATCTTCTCACCCGGGATCTGTGGCTGACTTGCTGTACAGCCCTGGTTAAGCCATCTGGCCTTTTCTGTGTCTTGAGCTATAGGAAAAAGGGGTGTGTTGTAAGCTGATCGCCAAGGGCCATCCATGCCCACTGCTCAGATCAAGCCAAGTATAGAGAATAGAAGAGACTATGAGCAGGTGCGGGGGGGAGGGGGAGGGGGGGGCGAGAAACAGGGGTCAAGCACCACCGATCAGGGTAAAATCCTCTAGGCAGGGAAAACCTCCGGGCATGGAGATAAAGCAGGTACCTGGTCAGCAGAAACCTGAGCCAGGAAAGACAGCAGCCAAAAGCCAAAAGCACTTGGGTTGGGTGTGTGGCTTAGTGGTAGAGTGCTTGCCTAGCATGCATGAAGCCCTGGGTTCCATTCCTCAGCACCACATAAGCAGAACAAAGCTGGAAGTGGCACTGTGGCTCAAAAGGGAGTGCTAGCCTTCCGCAAAAGAGGCTCAGGGACAGAGCCCACCCAGGTCCTGAGTTCAAGCCCCAGGACTGACAAAAAAAAGGGGGAGGAGGAGCAGTTGTCCTACTAAATATGGGGGCCTTACCTCATTCAATAATCTAGAAGACAAACAGACACCCACACTCACACCCACAGATACAGACTGATAATAGATAGATAAAGATAGATCAGGCCGGGCACTGGTGGCTCATGCATCATCCTAGCTACTCAGGAGACTAAGATTTATTTATGTATTTATTTACTGTCAGTTGTGGGGCTTGAACTCTGGGCGCTGTCCCTCAGCTCTTCAGTTCAAGGCAAGTGCTCTACCACTTGAGCCACAGCGCCACTTGCAGTTTTCTGGTGGTTCACTGGAGATAAAAGTCTCATGGACTTTCCTGTCCAGGCTGGCTTTGAACCATGATCCTCAGACCTCAACCTCTTGAGTAGGATTACAGGTGTGAGCCACCAGCACCCAGTTTAGCCTAAGATCTTAAGGATCATGAAAGGATCACAGGAATGCTTGTGAGACTCTGTTTTGTTTTTTGTTTTTTTTTGGTGGTGGGGGGGTTGTTGTTGTTTGTGTTTTTCTTTTATTGGTTGTGGGGCTTGAACTCTGAGTCTGGGTGCTTTCCCTCAGCTCTTCAGCTCAAGGCTATCATTCTACCACTTGAGCCAAAACACCACTCTGCCTTTTTTTTTTTTTTCTGCTTATGTGGTGCTGAGGTATCAAACCCAGGGCTTCATGCATGTAAGGCCTCCCAGCCCTCTGTGAGACTCATCTCCAGTTAACCACTAGAAAACCAGAAGCAGCAGTGTGGCCCAAAGTGATAGAACAGTCAACAGCCTTGAGCGAAAAGAGCTTAGAGACAGCACCCAGGTCCCCAGTTCAATCCCCATGACCAACCCAAAAAAAAAAAAGGAAAACAAAACACATCAATATCAGACAGATGCTAGAAGGGGCTGGGATGTAGCTCACTGGCAAAGCACTTGTCCTGGATTCAATGCCCAGTACCCAAAAAGTAAAAATAAAAATAGAGAGCTGGGAAGGTGGCTCAGTGGTAGAGTGCTTGCCTTGCATGCATGAGGCCCTGGGTTCGATTCCTCAGCCCCACATCAGCAGAAAAAGCCAGAAGTGGCCCTGTGGCTCAAGTGGTAGAGTGCTAGCTTTGAGGTAAAGAGCTGGGCCAGGCCCAAAGTTCAGGCCCCGTGCCTGACAAAAAGATAGATAGATAGATAGATAGATAGATAGATAGATAGATAGATAGATAGATAGATAGATAGATAGATAGATAGGTAGGTAGGTAGATAGGTAGATAGATAGATAGATAGGTAGGTAGGTAGATAGATAGATAGATAGATAGATAGATAGATAGGTAGATAGATAGATAGATAGATAGATAGATAGATAGATAGATAGATAGGTAGGTAGATAGATAGAATAGGATGGCGATAATTGGGATGAATGGATAGCTGTCCTATGGGGACAATTCAGGGACTAGCCTTGCAGCTCTCACAAACACAGGTATCAAGAAAGGGCCCAAGGTAGAGCAGAGGAGATGCTAGCAAAGACCAAGCCCACATACACGTCTGACAGGCCCTCAGCCACACCCCTAGGCACCCGGACAGAATGTCTCCAGTCCCCAGCACCTACCTTGGGTGCACCAGCTCCCCACATCATGAACTGCCTGCCAGCAAGGATGGACAGAGGCCACGAGGGAAAGAGAGGTTCTTCCTAGGAGGAGGGTGGGCCTGGCCTGGCCTGGGGTTCCTGCAGATAGAGGGAGGGCCTACGGGAACAGTCCCATGCCTCACTGTTCTCTATGGCTTTTTATTCCTATGTGATTCTGCTGCTCACTCATATAGGGATTGGAGCCGTGGCGCACGGTAAGGATAGCCGGCGGACACCAAGGACATTTGTATTGAGCAGGAGGGTTCTAGGGGCGTCAGACAGCGGCTGCTAGCCAAGGCTCAGGAGGTATTCTGCTGCTACCCTCCTCTCCGTTTGCCTGTGTGTGTGTCTGTATGCACGCACACCAGTATTAGAGCTTGAACTCAGGGCCTGATCACCGTTCCTGAGCTTTTTTTGCTCAAAGTTGATGCTCTATCGCTTGAGCCACAGCCCCACTAAGTGCTCTACCATTTGAGCCACAGCGCCACTTCCAGTTTTCTGGTGGTTTATTGGAGATAAGAGTCTCACAGCCTTTCCTGTCCAGGCTGGCTTTGAACCATGATCCTCAGATCTCAGCCTCCTGAGTAGTTGGGATTATAGGCATGAGCCATCAGTGCCCAACTCTCATTGTCCTGACTCACTACCCTAGTACTGGAATTTCCTGGCTAGCACCAGATCTGAGCTATGTTCTGGAAGAGTTGGCACAGAATAAAAAAAAGAATCTTGTGGCCTTGAGGAGTCCAGAGGACTAGACGATGAGGCAGATTTCAGCATAACCAAAGTGAAGGGTTATCCAAGGAGTGCTCGCCTAGCACGCACGAAGCCCTGGGTTCCATTCCTTAGGACCACGTATACAGAAAAAGCCAGAGGTGGCGCTGTGGCTCAGGGGTAGAGTGCTAGTCTTGAGCAAAAGCAGCTCAGGGACAGGACCCAGGCCCTGAGTTCAAGCCCCAGGATTGGCAAAAAAAAAGGGGGGGCTGGGAAGGTGGCTCAGTGGTAGAGCGCTTGCCTTGCATGCCTGAGGCCCTGGGTTCGATTCCTCAGCACCACATAAGAAAAAAAAAGCCGGAAGTGGCGCTGTGGCTCAAGTGGTAGAGCGCTAGCCTTGAGCTGAAGAGCTGAGGGACAGCGCCCAGGCCCAGACGTTCAGGCCCCACAACCGGACCCAAAACAAAACAAAACAAAACAAAAAAACCTGGTTAGGGCAGAAGCAGTCCACAGGCCTAACCTCCATGGGCTCTCTACTCACCCACAGAGCATGCTGGGAGCCTGACTCAACCTCCCACGATCCAGACAGACAGGCACTGATTGCTATTTGTTTTGTTTTATTTATTTATGGAGAAAGCACTGGGACTTGAACTCAGGATCTGGGCGCTCTTCCTTAAGCTTTTTCACTCAAGGTGGCCACTCTACCACTTGAGCCACAGCTCTACTTCTGGCTTTTGCCTGGTTCGTTGGAAATAAAAGAATCTCAAGGACTTTTCCTGCCGCAGGCTGGCTTTATAAAATGATCCTCAGATCGCAGCCTTCTGGTTACAGGCGTGAGCCACCAGTGCCTGGCTTCGGAGTGCCATTTCAGTGAAATGGGTCCCCAGCGGAGGGTACGCCCACAGTACGGTCCTTTATATATTTTCAGTCTTCCTAGCATCACACCGCAGAGGAGACAGGCCAAGGGAGGGTGGTGAGAGGGAAGAAGGGAGAAAATAGTTCTAGGGGCTGGTCCCGGTCCTCGGGGGCCTGCAACCACTCCAGCGGTAGGCGTGGAAGACAGTCCCCCATCTTCCAACGTAGGTGATGGCAAGCCATGAGTGGGATGGGACAAGAAGACAACCAAGCAGCCAAGGCTGAGCAGAGGGGTTGGAAACCCTGGCCAGGCCCTAAGGGACCACATTTGCCTTCCCTAAGGCCCTGCCCTTGGGTAGATGCCTCATCAGCGTATGTGATTCTTTGTTTTGGTCAGTCGTGGGGCTTGAACTCTGGGCCTGGGTGCTGTCCCTCAGCTCTTCAGCTCAAGGTGAGCGCTCTACCACTTGAGCCACTTTTGGTTTTCTGGTGTTTTTGTTTTTTTTTAATTGGAGATAAAGAGTCTCACGGAGTTTCCTACCCGGGCTGGCTTTGAACTGCGATCCTCAGATCTCAGCCTCCTGAGTGGCTAGGATGACAGGCGAGAGCCACCGGCGCCTGGCTGGGGTGTGTATGATTCCTACCACACAGCCCTGTGCTGTCACTGAGGCCGCAGAAACAGCAGGTGGACGTCCATCACGTTGGTACCTGTCATCCCTGTGTACAGCAGGTGTGAGCCGCCTTGGAGGCGGCAGAAGAAGGTGTGTGAATCGTTGTGGGCTAAGAAGGTGGCCATGTCCAAGCCTTGGGCAGCGGCCTGGCTGCAGAGCTCCCGCATGACCCACGCACCAGCGGCCTCGGTGGGCCCATCTCGCCCGTCGGTGCCGCCGCTCAGAAACAGCGCCTCCACGGGCCCCAGCGGCTGCCTTCCCAGCTCTGCTCCAACAAGCATGGCCAGCTCCTGGTTCCGGCCGCCCCTGCCCGAGCCCTGCAGCTGCACCGTGGGCTCTCCTCCCGCCAGCAGGCACACGGGGCCTCTCGTCTCCATCACAGCCCCCAGAGCCTCCTCCAGCTGCAGGTCTGGAAGCTGCAGCTCGGCGGCCAGCTTGTGCAGCCTGCCCTCCCCCTCTTCCTCCTCGTCGTCTCCGGAGGCTCCAGCCGTGGTGGAGGGGATGAGGCGGGCTGCAGCCACGCGGGCCAGCAGCCCGTAGAAGCGGGCCAGCAGCCTCACATCACCCTGCAGGGATGTGCTCAGCACCGCCGCCCGGTAACCCAGGGCCTCGGCATGCTTTTGAGCCTCGGCCAGCGCCAGCACATTCGAGCCGATGATCACGTTGAGCACGTGGCCGCAGGCGTGTGGTCCCCGGGGGTCCGAGTCGGCCCGAGCTAGCACAGTCTTCACGGAACGCGGCAGGGCGGCACGGAGGCCGTAGCGATTGAGGATGTGCAGGCAATCTTGTACGTTGTGGGCGCTGGCCACAGTAGGGCCACTGGCGATCACCTCCACAGGGTCCCCAACCACGTCAGACAGGATCAGGCTCACCACCTAGGGGGTGAGGCGGGGGGACATGGGGTACAGGCTCAGGCTTGGTCCCACCTCTTTCCTTGTCCCCAGATCCTGGGCATCCAGCACTCAGTATATATCCTTAACCACTTCACTTATTGTTTGGTATGACTTGGGTTTGAATTCAGGACCTTGCTTGCATCTGCTAGGTAGGCACCCTACCGCCTGAGCCACACCTCCATCCCTATCTAGTTACCACACTCAGGTAGGCTCACTCAACATCTGGCTAGGAGGCCAGGTGCCTGTGGCTCACGCCTGTCATCCTAGCTACTCAGGAGGCTGAGATCTGAGGATTGCGGTTCAAAGCCAGCCTGGGCAGGAAAGTCCATGAGAGTCTTATCTCCAATGAACCACCAGGAATCTGGAAGTGGCGCTGTGGCTCAAGTGGTAGAGCGCTCACCTTGAGCTGAAGAGCTGAGGGACAGCGCCCAGGCCCAGAGCTCAAGACCCCCCCTAAAAAAAAAGTCTGGCCAGGAGAACCCCCTCCTCTCCTCTCTCAAGGACCCCCTCTCTAAGGACCCCCCTCCCCACAGCGAATCTCACACCTGGCCACCGTCAGCCTGAACTCTGGTCTAGGCTGTCTTCTCCCTGCCACACATGGGGAGCCCAGGGCTGTGTGGGGAAGAAGTGATGGGTGTACCTGAGCAGGGTAGGCGGCCTGAGCCAGCCCTCCACCCTTGAGCTGGGACAGGGCCTTCCGGATGGTATTCAGTTCCTGGATGGTGGCTCCGCGGGCTGCCAGCAGCTTGGTGAGCGTCTGCTTCTCCTCCAGTGTGACGGGGGGGATGGGGGCAGGCAGGAGGGCCGAGCCCCCACCTGCGGAGTTAGTGAGGGTCTCAGGTTGAGGGGGGGCACATCCCAATCCAGGAACCAGTGGACAATGGCAGACAAGCCCATGAAGGAAGATGGGGCTCAAGCGCCCCCGTGTGGATGTAAAGTGAGTGTTCACAGTCACCTGCCCTAGCCACGGGAGGCTGCTGCTTGCCCTGGGGTATCCCAGATCCTAGCAGCCACAAGAAGAACTAACCAATCCTTATGAGCTTGGAACAGGGTTCAGAGCAGGGAGAAATGATAGAGGACCTAGGAGAAGCTTCCGTGGGAGTGCCCGCCCTGGATAACATTTGTGCAGACAACACCAAAAGCAGTGACATTTTCTACCCAGCAACTTTTTTTTTTTTGGTCGGTCACGGGGCTTGAACTCAGGGCCTGGGCGCTGTCCCTCAGCTCTTCAGCTCAAGACATGCATTCTACCACTTGAGCCACAGCACCACTTCCGGTTTTCTGGTGGATCCTTGGACATAAAGGTCTTATGGACATTCCTTCCCAGGCTGGCTTTGAACTGTGATTCTCAGATTTCAGCCTCCTGAGTAGCTAGGATAACAGGCTTGAGTCACCAGCACCCAGCTAACAAGATCAATTTGAGGGGAGTCCAAAGCCACAGATAGTACCATCTAAGTTCCTCACCGCCTCCCCTATGTCTGGTGCCAACTTTAACCTGGGAGCTCGGACCAATCACTGAATAACCTGGTACTTGGAGCAACCCCCCCTTGCCAGCTGCCCTGAACCAAATCTGGCATCCAAACCTGAGATGAGCACCAGCAGCAGGTCGTGGGCAGTGAGTCCCTCGGCCAGCTGCCGGATGGCCAGCGCAGCTCGTAGGGCATCACGGTCTGGCAGGTTGTCCTCAGCCCCCTCGAAGACTTGGATATGGCTGTGTGGCTTCAGCAACATCTCCCTGAGGAGGAAGCAAACTGAGTAAGAGAGAGGGTGGACACCTCTCCTCTCACCTGATTTTTGTGTTTTTGTCAGTCATGGGCCTGGGCGCTGTCCCTCAGCTCTTCAGCTCTAGGCGAGCGCTCTACTGCTTGAGCCACAGCACCACTTCTGGTTTTCTGGTGGTTTATTGGAGATACGAGTCTCACGGACTTTCCTGCCCGGGCTGGCTTTGAACCGCGATCCTCAGGTTTCAGCCTCCTGAGTAGCTAGGATTACAGGCGTGAGCCATCAGCGCCCAGCCTGATTTTTTTTTTTTTGCCAGTCCTGGAGCTTGAACTCAGGGCCTGAGCACTGTCCCTGAGCCTCTCTGTACTCAAGGCTAGCACTCTACCACTTGAGCCACAGCGCCACTTCCGGCTTTTCCTGTTTATGTCGTACTGAGGAACTGAACTCAGTGCTTCATGCATGCTTGGTGAGCACTCTAGCAAGAAACCACATTCCCAGCCCCCACCCCACCTGATTTCCTAAGGGGGTATAAAGGCATAAACAAGGGTGCCACTGACACCCACCCAGAAAGGGTGGAAGGTCAGACCCAGGAGCAAAGGAAGACAAGTGGGTAGGGAAGAGGCCTCTAGTCTAGCTTAGGTGATCTGAGCTATTTTCCTTCCACGAGCAGCAACCCCCCCCACCTCTCCACCCCACAGCTTCTTACTGCTTGCCGGCCTGTTCCATAGCAGCACGGATCCCCTTGGGGACGCTGATCACCCCCTGCACGAGATGCTGGCCCAGGAGCTCCTCGGCTGCCGCCGCCATGCCCAGCACAGCCTTGCCGAAGCCCACTAGGTAGAGGTTTTGCTTCAGTTGAAAGCTCCGGTCCCGCACCTTCAGCTGTTGGCCACCGGGATCCAAGGCCAACGCCCTGTGCAGCATGGGGCCCGGCTGCACGGCTCTCACGGCGCTGTCAAACACCTGTCGCGCATGCTCTGCCAAGGCCATGCCACTGGCCAGCCGAGCCGCTGGAGCCCTCCAGGAGAAAGGACGTGAGGAGGCTCGGACCGCACAGGGCAGGACCTGCAGGGCTACAGCCATGGCCCCTTCGTGCTCAGCACCACCTTGCACCCATAGCTGCCTAAGAGGGGGGAAAAAAAAAAAGAGCAAGAATGAGGCCAGGGAGAAGAGGGCCCCCCTCGTAGCCACCCCTGAGGGCTCAGACGCCACAGCCACGGCTGCCAGAATGGACCATCTGATAGTTCCAGGAGACTTCCTGACGCCCACAGCTACCTGATCTCCCGCCAATCCTAGGAGCCCTGCCACCCGGCCAAGTCCTCCTCTTCTGCAGACCACACGCTGGTCTCCCCCCGCCCCCCCCCCGGACATTACACCCCAAGTCCAAAGTTCCTATGAACTGGACCCTCCTCCCTAGGTCACTTTCTTGGGCTGGGAGTTAATCATTCACCAAGGGAATGATTCTTACCTTGTGGGTTCCCACCCCACACACCTTTTCCACCGGCCAGCAGTTCTGAGTCCTCGCCCAGTGCTCAGGCCCCTTTTCTAGCAGGAACTCCTACCTGCCCTCCTTTCCATTTCTGCTGCCAGGAGGTTGTTGGTTGTCTCACTCACTAACCTCCAGCCCACTGGCCTCCAGCCTGCTCTAACTGGGCTGGGAATAACTGGGTCTCTGTTAGGAGACTGTATAAGATACACGGCCAGCTCAGATCAGCAAGAGGCCCGGGTACAAATCCAAAGTAGCAACCAACTTGAATTCTTTGAGAGTTAAAGCTGTTGTTGGAGGGCTGGGAACTTTAGCGAAGTCTCCAGGTACTACATGCATGCAAGAAGCCATGTGCTATGGGGCCGATCTACATTTCAGGGAGTAAAGAACGCCCTTCTACCCACATAGTGGGCCAGGCCCACTCTTGCCAAGAACACCGCTTTTGGCTCTGGGAGAGCAAAACAAGTCCTCAGTCATAGCCACCCACAGTAGTGAAAAGCCAATGGCTGGTCCAGACTCCCATAACTTAGCCCAGATAGTCATTTACCCCACTGGGCAAAGTAAATACTTCAGAAGCTTCGGGCTTTGGGGAAAATAAAGCCACAAATGCTCATTTATAAAGGGGTAGGGGTGGGGAGAATGGGGCTGGGAAGGTGGCTTAATGGTAGAGTGCTTACCAAGCACGCATGAAGTCTTGGATTCGATTCCTCAGTACCACATATACAGAAAAAGCCAGAACTAGAACTGTGGCTCAAGTGGTAGAGTGGTAGCCTTAAGCAAGAGAAGCTCAGGGACAATGCTCAGACCCTGAGTTCAAGCCCCAGGACTGGCAAATAAATAAATCTTTTAAAAAGGGGGTATGGGGGGGGGATGCTAAGGCTTGAACCAAGAGCTTTCTCCCATGTTTCTCCCACTCTACCGCTGAGCTACACACTACTCCCTAAAAAGGCATCTATTTATTTTTGCCAGTCCTGGGGCTAGAACTCAGGTCTTGGGCTCTGTCCCTGAGCCTCTCCGTGCTCAAGGCAAGCACTCTACCACTTGAGCCACAGCGCCACTTTCTACCTTTTTCTGTGTATGTGGTACTGAGGAAGTGAACCCAGGGCTTCATGCATGATATAGGCAAGCACTCTACCACGAAGCCACCTTCCCAGCCCTAAAAGGCATCTATTTTACCAATGCCTACCATTAAGGCTGCAAACTGATTGTATCAGCAAGTGTGGATGAGGCAGGGGAAGGAGGTTGAGAAATAGGTTTATAGTGCACTCTCCCTCCGCCCCCCCCCTTTAAGGTCCTGGGTTTGAACTCAGGGCCTCACACTTGGAAGGCAGGAGCTCCACTGTGCCATAGCTCCAGCCCTTTGCAATGGACCTCACTTCCTTCCCATCACAGTACGTGGGATAACAAGTGTGAACAAACAACCCCTCAGTTTCACTTTAGATGGAGTCTTTCAGACTTTTCAATATGGGTTGGCAAAAAACTGCAGTCATTCAGATCTCAGCCTCCCCTCTGCAAACTAAGATGAATGCTTGATGTGATGGTGTGCACCCAGCAGTTAAGAAAGGGAACTTTGGGCTGGGAAGGTGGCTCAGTGGTAGAGCGCTTGCCTTGCATGCTTGAGGCCCTGGGTTCGATTCCTCAGTACCACATAAGCAAAAAGAAAAACAGCTAGAAGTGGTGCTGTGGCTCTAGCCTTGAACTGAAGAGCTGAGGGACAGCGCCCAGGCCCAGACTTCAGGCCCCACGACCGGACCAAAAATAAAAAAGAAAGGGAACCCTGCCCTGGCCTGGAACTGTAAGCACCCTTCCCTATCTCCGCCTCTCAAGTAACTAGATGTGAGAGGTTAGGGAATCTCCATTTCTCTCACTGGGGCAGGTACCCAGAATGAGAAGATGTGGAATGAAAAAATTGGGTATGCGGGTCTGTGACAGAGCACTTAAACATCCAACATCAGTTTCTCTCACACCCACAATACTAGCAACTCTCAGACATGGGCGGTTTTAGGCCCACTGGATCTCTGCTTTCCTCTAAAAGTCTAGCCCTGCCCAACAACTGCTGAAAGGTCACCCAGAAGACACCGCCATGGGGGGGGGGGGCTCTCTTTAGCCAGGAGGATCGCTAAGGGCTTGTTTATTAGAGCTAAGGGCACCTAGCCCAACCGAACTTTGTACCTATTTCCCAGATGACCCAATCTTGTTCTAGGGGCAGAAGGGACACTCAGGGTTGGGATGAAATTCCAGGGCGTTCGGTTAAATTTGAATTTCAGCTGAGTACCTTTTTGTGTTAGCAGTATGCCAGGTCTCTACTTGGCTTGTGGATTATCTCAAATTCCAACGTAACTGGGTGGGTATTTTTTTTTTGGTTTGGTCGGTCGTGGGGCCTGAACTCTGGGCCTGGGCACTGTCCCTCAGCTCTTCAGCTCAAGGCTAGCGCTCTACCCCTTGAGCCACAGCGCCACGTCCGGCTTTTTCTGCTTCTGTGGCGCTGGGGATTCGAACCCAGGGCCTCGGGCACGCGAGGCGAGCGCTCTACCGCTGAGCCACCTGCCCAGCCCCGAGTGGGCACCCTTTCATCTCCTAAGTCCTCCGACTCTATCACCAGGCCGGATTTCCCCCAGTTTACCCTCCGCTGTGTCAGGTGGGGAAACAAAAAAAAAAAAAAAAAAGAAAGAATCAGCCAAGTCCCGACTCCTCGCCGCCCTCCCCGGCGCGGCGCTCCCGGATGACGTCACTTCCGGACACGCCCTCCCCCCCGGGAGGCCCGGAAGTGACGCCCGTGCGCCAGGCTCCGCCCTCGCGTCTTCCTCGGAGGGGTGGCCGCCGAGACGCGAGAGAGAAATCCTTTCTGTAGCAAACCTTTCTGTGGTCTCCTGGGCTCAGGATGGTTCCCCCGGGCGGGGGGGGGGGGGGTCATGAGGCTCCTTCCCGAGGCCGACTTGCCCCAGCGACTCTCCGGAAGTTCCGGGCTTCCCACGCCGCCGGGGGGCCGGAAGTGCCGCAGACCGGAAGTGCCCTCGGGCAGCCCGCCCCCGGAAGTGGGCGGGGCCGGGCCGGGCCGGGCCGGGCCGGGCGAGGGCCGACGTGGAGCTCGGAGCCTGGGAGTCTCCCCGGATCGCAGTGGCCCGCTGCTTCCCGTGGGATGCTGTCGTCTTAATACATCCTGAGCGAGCCACAGCTTCAGTGTCCTCGCTCCTCCCCATCTTGGACCCCCTGCCCCCAATCCAAGCTCTTCTTTCCTGCTTATGGGGTGCTGGGGAATCGAACCCGGGGCCTACCACTGAGCCACCTTCCCAATCCACCTCTTGACTCTGCCAGAAATTCCTGTTCCTTGATCTTCCAACTGGGTAAAAAAAAAAAAAAAATCACCACAGGTCTTCCTCACCGTCTCCGTATCTGTTCTCGCCTGTGCCCACTTTGAACAGCGCGGCTGTCTTCCTACAATCATAACTCAGGTTCTTGACTCCCCCAAACCCACGAAAGACGACGCTTGGCTAGTGGGTTTTTTTTGGGTTTTGGGATGAGGAGGGATTTTTGGTTTATTTCATGTATTTATTGAGACAGGTTCTCACTTTGTAAACCAGACTGTCCACAAACTTACAATCTCCCTCGCCTCAGCCTCTCAAAATGCTAAGACTAAGCTGGTTGCCTAAGGCTCACGCCTGTAATCCTATCTACTTACTCAAGAGGCTGAGATATGAGGATCGTGGTTCAAAGCCAGCCTGAGCAAGCAAAGTCCATGAGACATCGCCAGTTAACCACCAGGAAACCTCAAGTGGCACTGTAGCTCAAAGTGGTAGAATGCCGGAGCAAAAACAGCTCAGAGACAGCACCCAGGCCCTGGGTTCAAACCCTATGGCCAACAAAAAAAAACAAAAGGAAAAACTAGGACTTCAGGTGTTCACCAGTATACCTAGAAAGAATATTTTGCTTTTATTGATGGAGCTTAGGGTAGTTGTTATATCACAGATCAGAGATTGGATCTCCTAGATACCTTATTCAAACTTATTTTTACCTCACCTGCCCGCTTTGGCAGTTGCCACATTTCTCCTCAGGTCTCCAAACCACCATTCTCAGTGTGGTTGGTTTGTGTGTGTGTGTATAAGAGGATATTTTAATAGAGAAGGATGTAGGGGGAAACAAAGTTGAGCTAATAAATTGAAAAGAAATGAAGAGAAAGTCTTATAATTCAGAGTAAGAGCTTTAAAGTTCTGGCTACTTCCATGGAACAATGTGCAGGTCACTCAGTAAGAGAGTACAGGTAGGCGTTGTGGTAGAATGTTAAGTCACTCTCCTGGAAGCAGCTCAGGTATGACCAGACAAGAAACTGATGTGCCACCAGAGCAGAATACAGTGATCCCTAGACATCCACTGAGAAGTGGTCCCAGAACCTCTACACATAATAAACCTCATTGGGGCTGAAGCCTCTACCATAAAAAAAAAAAAAAAAGTATTACATTAGTCCAGCCTTGGCCTCTACATTTAATCATCTCTACATTACTTATAATTCCTAACAAAGTAAATGGCGTATTAATAGTTGTCTAATGCATTGTTCAGGAGATAAGGAAAAGCCTTTGGCTCCAGCCTATAATCCCAGTTATTCAAGAGGCTGAGATCTGAGGATCAAAGTTCAAAACAGCCCAGGCAGGAAAGACCATGCTTATTTCTAATTAACCTCCAAAAAAAACGGTGCTGTGGCTCGTGGCAGAGCACTTGCCTTGAGCTGAAGAGCTGAGGGACAGCATCCAAGCTCAGAGTTCAAGCCCCACAACCGATTAAAAAAAAAAAAGTCCAGGAACAGCACTTAGGCCATGAGTTCAAAACCCAGGATAGGCATGCATGCAACACACATGCACACACACACACACACACACAGAGATAAGGAAAAAAGTCCCCCCCACAGTCATACACAGCCATTATATGCCTAGTGGCATTTTGGGAAAGGTAGATTTGGAATCCTTGGGAAGGAGACTGTAGGTGGCACTGTGTGAAAAGGCTTGAAAACCTTTGGAAACATTTTATTTTATTGTGGTTTTAAGAGATAAAGCCTCTGGCAGGGGGGACCCAGGAAGATCCTTGGCCTCAAGACAACTCCTCCAACCCCAGAGCCTTCCAGGTGGAGTGGGAAAATCCCAGTCTCACCCATCCAGAACAAAAAGGCATTGTTAAGTCCCACAATGGACTTTGTTAAAAGTGAATGGTTATTTACTCTCTGCCCAGGATACAAGTGTAGCAGAGAAGAAAGTATTGTTACTGGAATCTCCAGTTCCTCCTGGTTCTTTGACCTTGAGAAAGTGACAACTTCTCAGAACCACAGAGTCTTTATCATTAAAATAAGATTGGTTCGAGGAGCTTGTGAGCAACCCAGCACCTGACTAGCCAACCAAAGCCCCTTGAAATTTCCAACCCCAGTAGCACCAAAAGAAAAAAAAATTAATTAAAAATCTAGGTGGGGGGGGGGGCGGGTTAAAATGGGCTGAGAGTTCTTTCCTGGTATTTATACAGCTCTGGGTTCAGTTACCAACAATGCAAATTATAACAGCAGTAGTGTGTGTGTGTGTGTGTGAATAAAAGCCATTGCTGGAGTTGCCTTCTAACTCCATAGAAGGGAACACAGTTTCAAGTGGATGTGAGATGTTATGGGGGCTACACAGCCTGGGATAGCACCTTTACTTCCTTAGTAGGAAGCGAAAGGAAGCATTCATTTAGCAAATCAATTAATTTGTCAGGTGTGCCACAAGTCTCTGTGGTGTGTTGAAACACTGAGATACAAAGTGACCGTGGCCCTGGTGGCTCACGTCTATCATCCTAGCTACTCGGGAGGCTGAGATCTGAGGCTCAGGCTTCCAAAGTAGACAGGGCAGGAAAGTCAGTGAGACTCTTATCTCCAATAAGCCATCAGAAAACCAGAAGTGGCACGATGGCTTAAGTGGTAGAGTGCTCACCTTGGGCTGAAGAGCTGAGGGACAGCGCCCAGGCCCAGAATTCGAGCCCCATGACCAACAACAACAAAATAGTGTTCCCAATAGCCTGCTTTTTCTCTTTATTAATTTTCTCTGATTTGTGGTTGTTTTTACTACTTGGGTAGAACCTAGGTGCTTTAAATGCTCTACCATGGAGTACAAACATTCAGATACACACCAAAAGTGGTACAAAGCCAACAGAAAAGTCCAGATGACTCTTATTTCCAATTAATCAGCAAAAAACAGGAAGTGGAAGTGTGGCTCAAGTGCAGGACTAGCACAAGAACAACAACAAAAAAAGCCCTGGGAAAGCACCCTCAGGCCCTGGTTCAAGCCCCAGCACCCACACCCACACAGTCACAGTCAACTAATTTTAGTTGTTTCAAGGCTCTACCCAGAAGATAACCATACTGCCTGGAAGCCTTTGCCCAGGGGCACTCAAGGTCACAAACTTAATGCCAGCAATTAGAATCTGTTGGGGAGCTTTCTACATTAGATCAATTATCCGGTTTGGGATTGCAAATCTATAAGCCCATTACTAGGCTGAGATCATAGGATGTCAAAGGAGACTACTTAAAAGACTGTCTCAGCCAGGCCTGAAATCCTAGCTACTCTGGAGGCTGAGATCTGAGGATCATGGTTCAAAGCCAGCCCGGGCAGGAAAGCTGGAGGTGAGACTCTTATTTCTAGTTAACCACCAGAAAACCAGAAGTGACGCTATGGCTCAAGTGATAGAGCGCTGGCCTTGAACTGAAAAGTTCCTGGACAGTACCCAGACCCAGAGTTCAAGACCTATGACCAACAACAACAAAAAGACTGTCTCAAAAAAAAAAAAAAAAAGATTGCTTTCTATGTATTGCATTTTAAACTCTGTAACCTGAAATGTAAAATCTTTAGTGAAGGCTGGGAATGTGGCTTAGTGGTAGAGTGCTTGCCTAGCATGCATGAGGGCCCTTGGGTTCAATTCCTCAGTACCACATACAAAGAAAAAGCCAGAAATGGTGCTTTGGCTCAAGTGGTAGAGTGCAAGCTTTGAGCAAAAGCTCAGGGGCAGTGCCCAGACTCTGAGTTCAAGTCCCAGAACTGGCCAAAAAGAAAAGACAAAGGTGACATTATCCAAAAAGAAATGGACTCATGGAAGTGGTACCCTTTTGCTTTGAGCAAAAGAGCTCTCAGGAACAGGACCCAGGCCCTGTCCAACACACACACACACACAAGCTCTCAGGGACAGGACCCAGGCCCTGTCCAACACACACACACACACACACAAGCTCTCAGGGACAGGACCCAGGCCCTGTCCAACACACACACACACACAGAAATGCACTCAACACCTGGTCATCCAACACAGATGAGGATTGGTGAAGTTTCCCTTTAACACACACACACACACACACA